GGGAAGTAACGAGGAACCTTAATTCCAAACTCCAGTGTTGATTACTTCTCCCAAATCGCAATTAAATGAATTAATCCATTGATAAGCCGTTGTGATTTCAATTCAGAAATTTAGGCAACATCGTTGTTGTCGAATGTTTGACGTCAGTCACGTTACCCATTATTCCCTTGTTGATATTCAATAGTGCAGTTGAAACAATAGCAAGCTCATTACTAACATCGTGTAAAGACATTAAAAACAATAAAAAAGAACAGAAATAGACAGAAAATATACAAAAGATGTACAATACAAGACAATAGACCCTATATTTGGAAACAGTGTTAGGTAGGTTTTGTTAACCAGTTAAAAAATTTTCTGATGTTTGTTGGTGCTGTTGTTCTTTAAATATGGACAGAAAATAAACAAAAAAATACACAAAAACAGAAAAAAAGTTTACATAATGGTAGGAAGAAATGTAGCAGGGTTTACATTTTGCCCGACTTTCTACACCCGCTATGCAAATATTTTTGTGTTCACTGACCGTGAGAACAACAGATTTCGAAAGAAATGAATAATGGTGATCTTTTCTAAATTCCTTTTAAACTTGCTAAAATATTTGGCTTTTTAACACTAAAGTGTAGAAAAAATCACAAAAGAAGGCACAAAAATAATACAAATATGAAACACAAGTAAAGAAGAACAAGACGACAAATACACAGAAATTTAAGCAGTTCGATAATGGTTTCTTATGTTTAGTGGCAAATTTGTCAATACTAGAGCATAATGGGATAATCTTTGAGTAATAAGGGGCCTGGACCCAACTTTTATTGTTGTTTGTCATTCGTAAACGAATGACCTTTGTATTTTGTCTCTCAATATATATTTTACAAGATCCTCATTTCGTGAAATAGACTAAGTCTTATCTAAATACAGTAAATACATTTGTCATGGTCCTTTATAAGTAATATACCGTAATCACAATTGATTTTAATGCAAACTAAGAAAGTAGAACATGCATATATGAATATAGCCCTTTCCGTAATTATTAACATTGCGCTGTCCATAATTATACCCTTTATTCCTACGATTAAAATCTTTCTCTCTTTATGAAACAGGATTTTTTCACAAAGATTTGAAAACGCAAACCTCATAGTTCCATACTTTTTCGATAAAAAAACTGGCCCACATTCCAAATTTATGATAAATAATTGCTAATTCTTTGCTGTAGCACGTCAAGAACTCTGTCAAGAACTCATAAAACTGATGAGTGAAGAGATTGCTGTTTCAAACGCACAAAATAAGGAACAATTCACAAATTTTAGTGTCCATAAAAGTAATAAACAATTGTTGCAATCTCACAAAAAATGAAAGGGTCTTGAATGATTTTTCCAAAAAAAAATGCTGCGCCATTGATTATTTACACAAAACGTGATCATGCATTGCCTCTTATTTAGTGAAAATTACAAAGTAAGAAAACAGCAAAACTATTTTAGATGATTATATATAACGAGTGAAATACACACAACTTGGAGGAACAAAAGTATCTTGAACAAAAATGGCGACAACTGAAAAAACATAACTTTGAAGCTTCAACTTGTTCAATTCTTTTCATTCTTCTTTGCTATGACTTTATTTTTTATGAACCAGTTTTCCTTCTTAGATACACTTAAACACGGGGTTACTTAAGATAAAAAATTGAAATTATCAATTATTAGAAAGTTTAGTTTTGTAGCTAAATGTTGAAAACAACAGACAGTAATAAAAAGTTATATAAAGTTATTTAAATAAATTCGCTTCTTCCAAGTTAGTTCCTTGAAACGATTACCCTTTTCAATTTAGACACAGCATTTTACATTGAATAATGCACCAACCTTGCACGAGTCTATAGTACTGCTTTTCTTGTTCTCTATGTATTTGAGAATATTCTGTGAGATTTCGTGTGATTCATATTCATCATCTAATTTCTCCGCAATCCAACGGCCCACGTCAAGTTCATCACAAAGACCAACTCTACGTAGCATTGCTTTCCCCTCGTCAGTATTAAGTTTGGAATCATTGTCAAGAGCAAACACAGCCAGTTTAAAGTAGCGTTGATGACCGCTTTCTGGCAATCCAATTTTAGTCTTGATGCACTTAATAAAAACAGACAGTTGTAGTTTAAGGGGTCGAACTATGGTCATTTGTGTGATAAATAGTCACTACAAACCAAGATGTTGTAAGAAATTCACGATTGTAACTTTCATTGTATTCTGCGTACTTATGTTCTCTTAATCAAAGTGAAGGTAAAAACCGTGAAAATAAAACTTCAATTATTTTGGTTGAAGATTTCAAATTTCGGTCGAACAATGCTAAGGTAGAATTCTGCCTTAGGTCTAGTGTGTATTTTTTCTTGAGTGCATTAAACTGCGACATTTTGTAAAAGTAAGGTTGTGATCAAAAATTACTGTACATCTTTCATAAATATATCTTATGCAAACCATACTTCCAATTGACTCTCCACTCTAGCTTTTATTGTCTCCATGCCACAATCACCTTCTTTCCCCATTAATTCAGCAAAAAGTCTGTCAGCAAATGTTAAACAAATAAGAACGGGAACATTTTCTTTCTCAAGTATGGAAAGCCATATTTTCGTTGATTCTGTATGGACTTTCCTAAAACGGCGAGACTTTCATATACTGACATAGAATGCTTGCAAACTCTTACTGCCTTCAGTACTTCAGATAAATTTTTTTTACAAAATGTCGATTTCAAGAGTAGGTAAGTTGAAAAAAGGTGTACATAATATCATTCGTCACCAGGAGGCTTTATATCAGCTTATTAATTCTATGAATCAAACATGTGTTGAGAAGACACCTTATATGACGGGAATCAAAACAATATACCGAAATATTTTTGGTTGAAAAAAAGTATTTCAAGAAAAGCTTCGTCACCTGTAATCGACAACAAATACGACAATCCGAGTCAAACAAAACAGCAATTCAGCAATTTTCGGAATTGACTCATCACGATCATCAACACCAGGAAAATCTATGACATCCAAACCTTTGATGTGTTCATCCAAGTTATAAATCAAAGGAAATGTGTTACGTCTTTCATTAGTTGTTCCACTCGCTGTCTAACGTAGAAAGATCAATTTTCATAGATGTTCTCAAAACAAATGTTTCAAAAGATCAATATTATGGGGGTATTTTCATGAAGCATATTTTATTTCAGAAAAAGTATCAGAAGTTCTTACCTGTACTTCAAGCATGGAGCTGACAAACTTTGATTTCCCAGAATTAACCAGTCCCACAACACCGACTGCGCACTACTTGGCTAAACTCTCTCTAAGGTAATTGATCATTAATGACCATCTGATCCATCAGGCAATCAGTGGACGGTACTCGTATGGCACTAGCGTCAAAGTTTCTTCCTCAAAGTTAGCATTCCATTGTTGAAGAATATTTTCAATTGGAGTGTTGTGAAAAATGTTCCTCTTCTTGCCTTGGCGCTCAAGTTGCCGTTCGAGAGAATAACTGATGTAACTCTTGTTGCATGTAACTCCTTTCTTCATGCTACCCACAAGAAAGTTTAACTTTTCGTCGTAGTCAGGAAACTCGAGTTCCTCGGAAGGAAATATGTACTCCCGAAAATCGTTAATGCGACGAGAGAATTCAATGACAATTTTTCCAAACCTTTCAGATGATCTTACCATTTGCTGCAAATAGTTAAACGGCACAATCAACAATGCCCACACAGATAAACCCGTTGACTTGGCATCATGTCTGGCAAATTCATCAACGTACTTGTCATTACCAGCTTGCTCGAGAGGGATGTGAACTTGGGATTGCATGAATTCACCAAGTAGAGCATTGCAAGTCTCAAAATCATTAAGCAAGTCATACAAAACGTTCAGCGTCTCGTTATTCGCGTTACAAAAGGAGCTCCCCACATTTAGTTTTTCACTCAGTTGTTGGAGTCTTTCTTTACCATCGATTAGCAATGTGATTGGAGCTTTACTACAACGAATCTTCGTCTTGCTTTCGCCAAACTTATCCGAAGATGGATAAATCACCTGTAGGTCTGTCTCACATGCAGGAAAAGTTGTTCTTTTTGCACTTCCTCCGAATCTTGGTCGAGGAACGTCTTCATGAAGAAGAGAAACAAGGAGTGCATTAGTCTTATTCAGTAAGTACTTAATATCACCCCATCGCAACATAGGATCGGGTCGTAGCTCCGTATTTTCTTGAGCAAAGAAAATTAATCTGTTCCGTTTCCATGTGGTCGATTTGCATGAAGTCGGTGTTTTATAAAATCGATTAACGAAAAAATTGTATTTCTCTTCAAAAGATACATCGGAAGGCAATGCTTTCTCAAAGCAGCTCAACCTCGTTGATATATCTCTCAAAACTATGCTGAGAATACAAATGGGATACAAATATAAAAATAACAATATAATGACAATTCCCCCATGCCATTGAGTGGTAAATCTTACATTTTACCTCCTCCAGCCTCTTGTGAAGTTGTTTAGTGCTTACAAAATATTCTCCAAGTTCTCGAAGAGCTTTGACAGCTTTTCGACAATTTTGGCAACATGCATGAGACAAGCATTTTCTTTAGCGCCAGTTAAAAAAATAATGTGGCAGATTTATATCTAAACAAAAATAGATCAATAAAATAAAAACATCAGTATCAGGACTTTTGATAATAATGTTCTGAAATGTTGTTGCATGAGATGCATGTAATAACACTTGTGTATCAGCCTCTTCATAGTCACAACACAAGTCATCAATCCTTTGAACACTCGTTTGGGTTTGAAAGAAATGCAAGGCTACAATTGGATTCCATGCATTTACAGGAGTAGAAATATTTAGTCGAAATCACATTTTTCACCTCTTCGCCAGGTTAAACGAATAGAAAACATATTTTAACGGGATAACTCAAAATTTCACACAGCTGCCCAAATGGTTTTCATGACCAGGCAGGAAAACGTTTGCCTTGTTGAAATGAAAATCATTAAATTTTAAAAAAATTCTCGCAAGTAATGCAGAGGTTATATTCCCAGTAATCCACTTTTGCATACTTTGCGCCTATCAGACAATGAATATAAATTGGCAAAAGATATAGATGGGCATTTTAGTTAGTAGTTAGTACTACTTACTATGAGTCCTGTTAATTTGTGTATGACATTACATTAACACGATACATTGCACTAAATCTACCTTTTGTATAAAATTGATAATTCGTTGGAGATTTAAGTTATTTGGGAAATGTGAAAACAACTAAATGTATATTGAAGACGAGAAATATGATGTTGGGGCTCGAGGAATTCCAATGGGCATATCATTCACAGACTTAATTAAGGCTGAAACACACTGGGCAGTCGCTTCAGTCGCGCGTCTAAAACTACCAAATTGCGCGGTCACTAAGCTAGTAGTTTTAGTCGCGAGTCTAGTCGCTTTGGAAGTTTAGCATGTTGAACTTTTGACCTTGGTCGCTTCAGTCGCTTGCCTGTGATTGGTTATTTCCTTGCTCAAAATGCTAATTTACAAAGTTAACGTGAACAAAGATGGCTGGTTACGAAGAAGTGCTCATAAATTCTTTTCGCAATTTTCCAGTATTATTTGATCTTGCGGACAGAAATTATAAAAATGAGCCGATGAGAGTGAATGCGTGGCATCAAATTCTAGACGATCTGAGAGCTGTTGGCTTTACAGGAACAGGTAAGGAGCAATTTATTTATCTTTGATATTTTTCAGTGATGCCGTGATAAGACATGTTGTTTGTTGAAATTTGGATTGTTTGAGATATTGAGCATAATTTTGTTTTATCAATTTTATCAGTTGAGGAGCTCAAGGCAAAAATGAAAAGCCTTAGGGACGTATACGTGAGGTACAAAAAGAAAAATGATGCTGCCATAAAATCAGGAGCTCCAGCCTCATCCACACCATCATGGGAGTTTTGGGGTTTGATGACATGGTTGGACGATTACAGAAAGCGCCGACGGTAAGGCATACATTTTAACATTAATGTCTCCTGTTATTATTGTGTTACTGTATAGGGCTGAATGTGTAAAGTAGCATTATGATCGTGGGTTTCAAAAGTGTTAATTCTTTATATAGAACATCAACTAACATGTCTGTCACTGTAATTGAAGATGAATCAGTCAATGAAGTTACAGATGAAAGTAACAGCATTGGTACATTGACACTCGAAGTAGATGATCTGGAGAGCAGTCAGTTTTCTGAAGCAGTCGATCCAACTTCGCACTCAATCACATTCCAACCCATATCATCACCATCATATATTTCATCCACCTCAGCTTCATCATCTAGAGCAGCAACACCATCGGCACCACCAACACGATCAAAAAAAAAAGAGAAAGAAAGCTCAAGATGATGGTCCTAACGAATACCAGCTGCGGTTGCTGAGCAGTTTGGAAAAAATTACTCAACAATCAGCATCTCCCCCAACTGAATCATCAATGGACGAGTATGAACATTTTGGCAGAAGCATAGCTTTACAAATCAGAAAGCTTCCTTCTGATTACCTTAAAGCACTGGCTAAAAAAAGAATCCAGGATGTTCTTTTTGACATTGAATATAATGAAAAATAATAGTGCTTTATCTATATTACAACAAAAAAGTAAAATAAAATTATATCAATGAGTTCTTTTCACATATTCTTGCTGCCATGAAAGTTGACCAACTTCTGAATTAAAATACATGGCAAACTTTTCTCTAATTTTGGATGCTTCACTACTGTAGTTTCTTTGTTTGTTGTGAGCTAATGGTTCAAGCACATGGGTTGTTTCTTGCCTCCAAGACCCTTCATGAACATTTCCAGATGGATCCACAGTATCTGTGAAACCAGCTGGACTGTAGGAAACATGGCGTGTTCGGAGGAAATTGTGCAAAATGCAAGTAGCCTTGACAATTTTGGACACATTTTCTGGTTCTGCTATAATGGTTGTTTTAAGTATTCGCCACTTGGATACCATTATACCTGATACAAATATCAATTGAAGAGAATATTGAAAAGTGTTTGATTCAAAACTCCATAAAGAAAATGAGCATGTAAATACAAACCAAAGGTGTTTTCTATTGTTCGCCGAGCTCTTGACAATCTGTAGTTGAAAACTCTCTTTGAAGGCAATCCAGTACCCTTCCTGGATAAGGTCGCATCATCCAGGTTTTAAGAGGAAATGCCTCATCTGCAACCACAGTATAGGAAGGCTTTCATTTGTTCCTGGTAAAGGCTCATCAGCAGGTAGATGCATCTCACCTATCAAATAAAATTTGTAAGGTGAATACTACTTTCAACACTGAATACTTTAAAGAGATATGATACCATTTAAAAAAGCTGATCCAAATTGTGAATTAGCAAAAACTCCCCCATCACTCCATCTTCCAGCTTCACCAATATCCACAAAGATAAATTTGTACTGGGAATCGCACAAAGCCATTAACACCAAGGAAAAGTCTTTTTTATAATTGAAATATAAAGATCCAGAGTTTCTCGGAGCCTGAATAGCGATATGTTTTCCATCTAGTGCTCCAATGCAGTTTGGAAAATTCCATGTATAAGCAAATCTGAAAACATACAACAAACAATGATGCAGTGTCACTACAAGTCTACAATAAAGTAACCCTTTCTCATAATCATGTTTTAACTTTACCCTTCAGATATTTTCTTCCAGTCACTAGGTTGCGAAGGAGCCTTCATGTATGTGGGGACAAGAACTCTCCAAAGTGCATTACACGTATCGTAAACAACCGCACGAACTGTGCTAGCCCCACGACGATAAGCAAATGCTATAGACTGTGGGCTATCACCTGTAGCCAATCTTCTTAATGTGATTGCTAGTCTTTCAGCAGGTCCAACTGATTGCCTCATTTGAGTATCTTGCCTACGAAGAGATGGACCAACCAAAGCCAGCAGCTCATCAAATATTTGAGGGCTCATGCGAAAATACAAATTAAACTGCTCCTCATCGGTTCTTAGTTCTTGTACCAAGTGCAGAAAATCTCCTTGTGTTCTCCTTTGCCTGTTTAATTGACGAACCCACCACCTTTTCATTTTATCATTTTTTTTCCGTTTTTCAACCTCTTCCAGCTCGTACAAAATGCAAACAGATGCTAGTAACTTAGCCTGATGACTAGACGCCATGTTGATAGTCGAAATTTGGTCGCAATGCTCGCTTTTGCATGTGTGTTTCTGACGTTCAAGCGACTAACGCGCGCGCATCAATTCGCTTTAGTCGCGCGACTAAAGCGACTGCACAGTGTGTTTCAGCCTTTATCTTTAATGTACTTTCTTTCTGTGCGCTTGCTGTTGTTATATATACTCAAGGAACGCCTCCATTGATCCTAATTTCAGTGAATCGATGTTTTAAAACAGATAAATAAAATAATTTATGACATTTTGTTTCAAATCAAGAAATTTTGGATACAACTTTTGTGCAAAATGTTCTGTGCGAAAAGTTTTAAAGTTTTGGTTCAAAAAAATGCTTTGACCTCCACCTTGTTCAACTGAATTTTTGTCACCATTGTGTTCCCTTTGTTGTAAAGTGTCAATGGTTTAAAACTCAAGGCATTCGTGCAAAACTTTGCATTCAAGGAAAGCGAAGGATATTTGATATGTTCCAACGGTTCATTATGCAATGCAAAATGAACAAATTTAAATTTAAAACAAATAGAAACGTGCGTTCTCTGCTAAAGAAAAGCTTTCTTTTCATTAAAATATAATTTAGATACAGAATTTTCAAATCATAAACACTTTGAATAAGTTTCGATGGATGAGTGTGCTCTCACGTATCAACACTTATGTTTCATTGAAAACATCGTCATCTTATTATATTGGAACAATAACACGCGAGTCAAATTCATTTACTATGTAAAGAGTACTATAGTTGCAAATTGTAAATTAAACGCATGTTTTTGTAACAACGATTGTTAGAGGTTACAGATGCTCGATTGTTTGATAAAAAATCTTCATGAATTGATTTCATTTTCTAAAAATTTAAAATGTACAATTTTTCGGTCAACTAATCATAAAAAATTATAATTGGTAGAAAGCAATTAATTTCAAATGAGCCTAATGCATGAATTAAAATATATGATTGCAAATCAATATATGAATGTTGGCCGACACAATTATCGAGGCCACATTGTAACCCGTCTACCTATAGATATGACATGTTCATTTATCTCGTAGTCAACATGAAATGACGTGCAACCTGTGTTAAATGATAGGTTTATAATATGTTCATACTCACTCCTTTTCTTTTGCTTTCTTCCCACTTTTTCCTCGTTTTTTAGTCTTTGTCGTTTCTTTGTTTTGCTTTAAAAATAAAGGTACTTTCTAAGAAAAACAAATTTTAATAAAAAATGTAATTTTTTTGGTATGATTGAATTATATTTAAGCAAACTTACCAGACATGGATGTAAAGTGCTGCTTTCTTTGTTCTCGATATATTTTAAAAAAGTCTGTGAGAGATCATGTAGCTCGTACTGATCCTCCAATTTCTCTGCGATCCAACGACCCACATCAAGTTTATCACAAAGACCAACTTTACGCAGCTTTGCTTTCCACTTCTCAGAATTGAGGTAGGAATCGTAGTCAAAGGACAACACTGACAGTTTAAAATCACGTTGATTGCTGCTTTCTGGCAATCCGATTTTCTTTTTGATTGTCTAAATATAAATAAATGTCCACATCAAGTAAACATCTTCAATTTAACCGGATATTCGCTACATTTCGCAAAGTTAAAATAAGAGTGAGTACTTTCACACAATTATCTACGTGTGATTTGTAAAAGAAAAGCGTCAACATATAATAGTTTAGCTTAAAGACCAATCACAGTCGAGAAATATATCAATGTATATTATTATAACCACGGGAATATGTTCCTTTTTCTACACTGACGCTCCATCTGGCGTTCGAGAGAGTAGCTGATACACTTCTGATTGCAAGTAACCCCTTGTTTCATGCTACCAACAAGAAATTCTAACTTCTCATCGTAGTCAGGAAACTGATACCTTTTGATAGAGGAAATAAACTGGCGAACTTCATTAATGCGATGAGAAAATTTTATAAAAAACTGTTCAAACTCTCCAGATGATTTCATCATATCCTCCAAAATGTTGAAAGGCTCTATCAGCAGTCCCCAAACGGATAATCCAAATGAATTAGCATGTTTGGCCAACTCATTCACATAACTATGATTACCAGCTTTTTCGAGAAGAATCTGCACTTGAGACTGCATGAAAGTGCCAAGTAAGCTGCTACAGGTTTTGAATTCACTCCGTAAAATATTTAAAGTACCCAGCATCTTACTGTTCATGGAAGAAGAAGAAACTCCAGAAGAAAGTGATGATGCATCGGATGTTATTTCTTCGCTTAACTCTTCAATTATTTTTTTCCCTTCAATCAGCAAAGTTATTGGCGATCTAATACACGTGTTTGTTTTTTCTTTGTCTTGGCACTCAGAAGATGGAAAAAGCACCTTAAGATCAGTTTTACAGAGAAGCACTCGTTTCCTTGCAGAATTTCTTTTGCGGCGCCGTTTTGAACGCTTTAGAATTGTGACAACGCTCGAAATACCCTTGTTCAGTAAAGGATTAACCATTTCCCATGGAACTCGTTCGATAAATACTTGTTTAGGAGAATTATCATTTTCAAACTTGTAAAATGGATATCTGAGTTGTGTATGCAAAAGCCAAAAGGCAAAATATTTGTCACTAGGAGCCAAATCAGGACGAACGCTCTTCATCATAGACTGATTAGAACGCAAATGAAACAATGCATTTTTTATAGCATTTTCTGAAAATTCGGAGTCTGCAACCGCCATTGGAATACTTTTGCAATTAGACAGTATTTGGCAGCAATCCAGCATTACATTTAGTTCACTCTCAACAATAGTATGAAAAAGATTTCAATTGGCACCACAGACACAGCATTTTTTAAAAAGTCTTGGATGGATTTCATTTTAATGGAGCAATTAGCTTTGTGTGTTTTTTCCAGCAGAGCACTTATATACGCCAATTCAATAACTTCGGAAGGACGAAGTTTAGCAAGTTGTTGTTGTCTTCGAGTAATAGAATAGGTCTAAAATTAAATTATTTAATGAAGAGGATTAATTGTGTAATCATTTGTCAAGAGATGAAGACACACACAATCTGGGGTAAAATTTCAACCAAGAAATTATTTCATATGGACCAACACTATATGGTAAAGTTGACCAACGTTATTCTGGTTAAATTGATCAACCAGTATTCCTTGTTAAATTAAACCAATTTTAACGTTTTCTACCGTATTAAGTATGTGCTTCGCGATTTTGAATGTTTCTTCAACCAGTATCCTGCTTAAGTGATTCTGAAATTACTAGGATTTCATCCCAAACCCTGGTCAATTTCAATTTATCTTATTTTAGGTTCGAATTCATTCAACATATATTCTTGACCAGGATACTCTTATAGGCCGTGCAAATTACTTGAAAATTCATGATTTTCACGTACCATTGTCTTTGCAGGAACAGTAAATGACTCAAGATAATTGGAGTTTTCGAAATGCGTCTTCATCCGAAGACAAACGTTTTCTTCGTAGGTGATGCTCTTTTTCTTTATTCTTGTTTGAACTTGAGAACCAGTCGATCTAACGAAGTCCACAGGCAAATTTTTACCATCAAAATCAACTGTTGTGACAGACATCTGGTGTACGAACCACATGTCGTTACCAGATACCTTAATGATAACCTCTTTACCGAAATTTTCGAAATGAACAACAGATATTTTTGGAATGATTTCATTGACGTCGATAGTATTGTTGCTTGTCCGTTTGTAACAGGCTAGGTCAGGAAGCTGACCTCTGACAAAAGCCAGTTCAACTTCGTGCACGTACCTTTAAAGGCTATGCTGTCGAAAAAGTAAATTTAAAATTTTCATTAATGCACTTAAAAGGGCTTCAAGAAATCAAGCCATGACGAGCTGTATTGCTGATTAATTGATTATATTCCTCAATGAAACTTTCTAATTGCAAGTGCAGGGATGAGTTTGTTATGTTGAATTGCAGCATATTGATAAATCATATGCCCAAATAAGCGGCTTAAACATTATCATCAACATACGTTACATTAAATTAAAGATACGTAACTTACGTTAATAACATATTGCCGATATATGCTCAGAATGCTATCGTAATTGCAGATGGTTAAGTGATCTTTAGCCTCTGATGCAGCCAAAACCTCAAACTTTGATCCATTGGACTTTTTTTGAAGGATATAATAAATTCCAAAAATACTCAAGCGATCGAAGCCAGTTAAATTTCTCAGAACAGGACTTGCACGCTTTGCTTCCTCAACAATCATTTTAAAAAACTTTTTAACATCGGGAAAAGGGTCCTAAAAAATAAAAAAAAATCAAGTAGTTGGATGAATTTTACATACATTATTACATGCAAATATTGTTCCGAGCAAGCGAAACTGAACATTCAAAAAGACAAGTCTAAAGATCGGCAATGCATTTTGAAAAATTTGCAATAAAATGTTCTTATAAGCTTTCGTTTCTAAAGATTTTGCACAGATCAAAACTTTCTAGCCCACTAAATTTTTTAATTTTGATTAGATTTTACATAACTCACAAAAATGAATTTCCCTAAAAAGTCTCGTTAGCTTCGCCCTAAAAGATATATTCTTAGAATGGTAACTATTGGTTATTGCAACGTCTAGATTTTTTAGAATATTGATTAACCCTAAAAAATTTTTGCATCATGATGTTTTGTTTGATGTTTCTATCTGTTAACATTATTTGATTCCACTAAAATCGGACGTTTTCTGAGTTTTTCAATATTAAACGTCCAATCCAAGGAAGTTGGATTAACCTAACCACTCATTTACTAGGAATTGAAGCAAGACTTTGGTTTGAGGGTAAAAGTTTATAGAAAACTTAACCTGAATATAGACAACTTATGTTTGTTATTGTGATAGCAATTTGGAAAAACTTACATCAAGTGTATCAAAGGACTCTTGGATGACTCTCTCAACAAAATCCCACAACAGATTCTGTAAAGACAATGCAATTATTCTTTGCAGGTCAACAAATTTATATTATATACATGAATTGCTTGTTATCATTTGCAGACATGCACTTACAATGCAAGTATTTTATTAAAAAGAAATGCACATAATTTGATAAGCAGGCACAAAGAACAATCAATAATTTTCTGGGTTATTCTTTAAACTAATCAATTATAGATGAGAAAAATAAGTTAAAAAAGTCAATACCTCAAGTTAAG